AGGGTATCCTGTGTGAGCTCGTGCACGCAGCTTACAAAAGAGACTTTGTAATTGAGGTTTTGCGCTTAATGAAGGAATAAATTGAACGGGAGTGTTGTCCTTAATTGGGGTGTTGCATTAATTAAGGTATTGCACTTAATTGGGATAAAGCATTTAATAAGGTATTGTTTTTAATGGGGATAGGTTATGTAAATGCGATCAGCGCGTTAATGGGGTGCTACACCACCAATGCATCTGCCAGCCCTGGCAGACGTGTCATCTGTCACTGTGGGCTAAACCGAGCATCAGGTCCCTGCACACGAGGGAGCCCAGTGCAGACATAGCCTGCCCACAGGACCAGGGCCGCTAGAAAGGCTGGTCTGAGATGCCAGAGCTGCCTTCCTCCCCATCCCAGCACCGTGTGACTGATAACAGTGACGGCTCTGCTCCCTACTCCTGTGCGTATGGGTCCCTCCCACCGTTCCCAGCCCTGCTGTTCATCATGGGCACAAGACAGACAGAGGTTTTGTTGAGTGGGGTGCAGGCAGCATTACTGCTCCAGTGGCCACCCCACAGCCAGCTCCATGGTGGATGGTGACGCCCAGCATGCTTTTCACACCATCGCCACCCCTGTTCTCCTGTAATTAGAGTGGACATCTTGTCATCCCAGATCTCCCCACAGATGAGGTGTTCACCGCCCTCACTGTGGACCCCGACCTGTGGGGTGAGCACCATCAGCGTGCTGTGCTGGGGAGGCTGCGGAGGAGGCTGTGCTTGTTAAGCCGACGTGTTTCAAAGGGTCTCGGAGGATCCAACTGGTGTGAGGCAGAGCTGAGTGCTGCGGCCAGCTGGGCTCCGCAGTCACGTTTCCTTCAATTAGATCAAAATTAATGATCGCCCTAGATCCACTTCCCTCCAGGCACGGGGCTGCGGCCAGCACTGGCTCTGAAGCGTGTGGAGCTGGCAAGGAAGATGCGGCAGCCGGCTCATGGGCTTGAGCTGGCGGCAGAAGTACGCAGAAAGCAGGACCCATGTCCCGCCCAGCTCGGACAAGCACAGCATCAAGTGGGTGTTACCTCCTGGGGGTCTCCCCTTGGGCAGCCTGTGGCTGTAACTATCCCACCACCTGTGTCCCCCACCCTCCTGGACTGCCCAGCCATGGCATCCTTTGGTCCCTGGGGTTGATCCCCTGTTCCTCCAGTGAAGAGCCGCTGCCCTGCCGGGTGGCTGGGAGGGTGAGCTCACTGCAGCAGCACAGCACCAGTGCCAGAGCATGGCAGGAGGATGACTGAGTGCTGGTACAGCAAGGAGTTGATCCATTGGCTCATGGCAAGATAGGGAAAGCCCAACCAAACCCTCATCTGGATCAGCTTAAGAATAGAAAGGACAGCATCTAAGTCTTGAGGGGATGAATCATCATGAGGGTGCTGGGGTGCACCACAGCAGGATCAGTCCCACCAGGCACCCCTCCAGACTGTGGGCCAGTTTCTCCCACACAGAGACCCCACCTAACTCCCTCTGCCTTTTACAGTGTGTCAGGGACCTGATGCTCCAGAATGCCCCTCCTCTGTGCTCTGTAATTTTGTCTACAGATGCAGCCTCTTGGCCTCCTCTGCTCTCGCCCAAGCTCCCAGTGCCTCCAGCCAGTCTCCAGCGCTGTTCTCCGTTATTGCCATCCTCTCTACTCTTTCCAATTAGTTTGGATTTTTCCTGACATGTCATCCAGGACCAGGCACAGAGCTCCCACCAAGGCCTCGCCAACAGCGAGTGTTTCAGATCCCTTGCAAATAACGCTTCTTCTCACAGAACCCTGAGCAATGTCCTGCTTTCCACCAAGCTTAGTGCAGTTGCAGGGCAACTAGATATCCTATATATTAAACTGGCAAATCCCATATCCCAAATGAAGGAGGCTTCTCTTGGTTTTCCCTAGCTCCCACCTGCTTTTCCAAGCCAGCTTCCTGGCTGCTGGGCATCTGGAAATGCAGCTTCTGCATGCACAAATAATGGCACGTGTGCGGTGTGTCCTTCCTGGTGGGGTCTGACCCTCTGCATGCCTTGTTTATCCATCTGGTGTCGGTGCTAAACTCAGACATGCCAATGGTGCTGCCCACTGCCGATGAGGGCTCTGCCCTGCCGCCTGCCTGCTTGGCAGCCCTGCCCTCTGGCTGCTTGCCCTCCACTCGCTGGGCAGATTTGCTTCCCGCCCCAGCCCAGCTCTTGGCACTTGTCCTTTTGAATTGTATCTGATTGTTTTCAGGCCATTTCTCCGATTTGTCAACATCATTTCATATTCCAGTCCTGTCTTCCCCAGCACTTGCAGCTTCCCCCCGTCATCTGAGTGTAGTGCGTGGGCTCTGCGCCAAGCCCCTGCTGCTCAGCAATCCCCTGGGATGGGGGGCTCGGGAGCAAGCAGAGGGACCCTCCTCTCCCAATCCAATTGCAAGCCCTTGGTTGATTTCCCTGTTTTGTCAGCTGGCTTGCATAGTAGGTAGTGAAGTCAGCACCCAGGTGCAACCCCGCTGCACGCCACAGAGTCCCTCCTTGTGGCCTTACGCCCCCCATGCGCAGGCGTGCAGTGCTCAGCTACAAGTGGGAGGCTCCTATGCAGAACTGTGGGCTGTAGACAGGATGCTGAGTGGCCATTCCCAACTGGGGCTGTGCTGGCTGCCTTGTCTGGTCCCAGGAGAAAGTGGTCCCTGAGCCCTGCTGCGTCCCCTTCCAGCCATGCTACTGCTCTGCTCTCTGCCTCTCCAGCCCACTGTCTCCCCCGGCATGCCCCCTTCCCAGGAGCTCCCTGGTCTTGAAGCCTTCCCCACTCCTTGGCATGCAGGAGGCCTGCAACCACAGGTGGGGATGGGGCTTTTCCCTTGGGTACCACTCATTTGGGCAGCTTGATCCCAACCCAGTGCTGTGCCTTGAGTCATCCTGAAGGGTGATGGCCAGGCAGAAGCACAGCACAGCAGAGGAAGAGGGGCAGGAGAAGACATATCTTTTTGGCCACAAAGGAGGGGACCATGCTGAGAGGTGACCCCAGCCAAGGTGGCAGTTGCTAATGGAGCAGAAGATGTCCAGAGAGAGATGGGGTCTGTGGTCCCTGTGCTGTGGGGGCAAGGGCTGTGTAGGCAGCTGGGAGACAGACAGTCCTGCTTCCATGCCATGTCCATGCCATGGCTCCTGCCAACCTCATACTCACACAGATCATCTTGCCCTGTACCTCAGGATCTGTGTTTACAGGGTGGACCTGCATGTCAGATCCCCCATGCCCTTGCACCCCTCACCACCACAGCATGGAGAGATGCAGGGAGGGACTCTGCACCAGGCACTGCAAACCAAACACCCATTGCCAGTCATTGCCTTGTACCAAGAACCTTCGTTGTCACAGGATCAGGCCCTTGCTGTCCAGTCTTTGGAGGGCCAAGCATCTCTGCAGGGCTAGCCATGTGGAAGCAGCTCGTGACTTGTGTCTGTGTGTCTGTGGCCACCCGTGGTGGTGGCGGTGTTTGGGCACCTACCCAGCCCACTCCCTGCCATGCCTCTCCAAGCTGGGGATGCGGGGCTGGCACGTGCACACTGCATCCTCCAGGCAGGGTGAAGCGGGTGACTGGGGCTGTGCGTGCTCACTGCCGGAGGCAGCCTATCATGCTGTATTGACCTGCACAGAGGCAGGAACATGTGTGCCATGCACAGATCGATGGGAAGATTGAAGATGTGTGTGTGCTTGCCGGACGACTGGGGAAAGCTTTGCCTTTGGCATCGGCAGCACAGTGAAGGTCACGCTGACCTGCGGCGCAGTCCCCAGGGAGAGGCGAGGCCTGTTGCTGAGCTCACGAGGGGCTGTCTCTTCATTGTCCTCCAGGGACCCCAGCTTCCCAGCCAGGCATGCACCTCCCCAGCAGAGCCATGTCTTCTGGGGGGAGGGTACCCAGTGGTGGGCTTGTTCTGGAGGTGGAGAGCTGATGTTTCCCCCACCACTGGGTCACTAGGCAAGGTTGCAGAGGGTTGCTTGTCTTGCGGGTGAGGGGTCCGCCTCAGCCTTTCTAGCAGAGCTAACCGTCTGTCATCAGCTGGGAAAACTGAGGCAGGAAGCTTGGAGAGATCACGACTTGCTGGCAGAATGTGTGTGGGGCACGCACATGTGATCCAGGCACCGAGTGGCTCTGTAGTTGCTACCACAGGGTGAACCCCTTAACCTCATCACAGCTCTGACCCCACTGAATAATGCAGGCAGAGCCTCACTTCTGTAGGCAGGAAGGTGCAGGAGGACACCCTGGGTCCCCTGCTGTCACGGGAGCGGAGTCCTGCGTGGGGCTATGCACAGGGACAGAAGGAGGCGAGTGTGCCTGGAGAGAGCAGAGCAAGACCCGAGGAGGGGCAGGGTCTCAGCAGGGCAAGAAGAGGTGAGGGGGACCCCGGCTCAGCCTTTCTGCCAGGGTCGGTCATTGCCTGAAGTGACCCCGCTACTTGTGGTCTGCACCGGGGAACCGCGGAGCACAGCGTGCGGCGCACAGGGGCCGGGGGGCAGGAATGGAGCTGGACGAACCGATCCCGGGAGCACAGCAAGCGCAGAGGGGAGGGGAGCGGTGGTCACGGGGCGTGCGTGCTGGTGCTGCCGCCCTCGTGGCTCCGGGACACCGAGGAGCACGTAGTGTGGGTAGGGGTGCACCTCCTGCGCCCCGTCTTCAGCCTCGCTCAGGCGGTGGCTAGGAGGCCGGTTCTCGGCGGGGCAGGGACCAGGACCGACGGGTCCCGGCGCTCGCCGGCTCGGGGAGCGGCGGGCCGTGGCAGGGAGGCGGTTAACGGCCAGGGAGCCGCTGAGGCAGGAGGAGTCCGCAGGCGGGAGAGCAGGAGGGGGCCGCCGGGCGAGGTGCCCGCAGGCTGCCCGCCCCTGCCAAGCCGCGCTGAGCCGCGCCGCGCTCTGCCCCGGGGCGCTCGGGCCGGCGGGGTACAGCGGGGAGAGGCGGCAAGATCAGCATTGGCGGCGGCGGCGGGGGGCAGGCTCCGTGCCCCGCCCGCCTCGGCTCGGCACGGCTCGGCATCGCACGACCCGGCACTGCTCGGCATCGCACAAAGCGGCGAGGCACGGCTCGATTCGGCACGACGCGGCTCGGTTCGGCTCGGCTTGGCACGGGTCGGCACGGCACGGCTCCAGCAGCTCCCGAGCCATTCAAACAAGTGGCTCCGGCAGCACTTCATAGCTGGGGCTGGGGAGAGAGGGTGCAGCGCGGCTCCCTGCCCCGGAGGCGCCGGGCCCCTCACACTGCCTCTTTTCTCTGCTGCTCGCTCTTTATTTGACGATGAAATAATGTTGACATGTCTTGAATTATTAAGTATTCCCTGGATTTTATTAGCACATGATGCCTAAATGCTGCCTGTATCTGCTGGGGTCTTAACCAGAAAGGAGCGAAGGAGAGAGGCAGAGAGACAGAGCAAGGGAGAGGAGAGAGAGGGGTTTTTGACAGCTGTATTTGTGCTGATAAGCGAAGGCACAAGGAGACGATCGACTAGTGAGACAAGAGGGAAGCGGCGGCTCAGAGCTGCTGAGAGGGGCTGCGCTTCCCTCCCGAGACGGCTCGGCCCTCCCGGCGCCGTGCCGGGGCTTGGGGGGGACCCGAGCCCCCTCCCAGCGCCTGGCAGGGCTCTCGGACAGTGCCCGTGCCGGGGGGCAGCTCGCTGGCTGGGCACGCCGGCGGCGAGGGGCAGATGCCGATTGAGATCGTGTGTAAAATCAAATTTGCCGAGGAGGATGAGAAGCAGAAGGAGAAAGAAGAAGGGGATAAGGAGAGCCTGATCGAGGAGCCTGCCCGGCCCCGCTCTCGGGACCTGGCCGCCTTCGCCAGCACCAGCACACTGCACGGCCTGGGACACATCTGCCGGTCAGGAGGGCTGGGTGTGCGCCAGACCCTCTGGGCGCTCGCTTTCCTCGCCTCGCTCGCCTTCTTCCTCTACCAGGCCACTAAGTCAGCGCTGCTCTACCTGGAGCACCCCCACGTCATGGCCCTGGATGAGGAGGCCACGCGTGAGATGGTCTTCCCCGCCATCACCATCTGCAACATCAATCGCTACCGGCACTCAGCGCTCACCGATGCTGACATCTTCCACTTGGCCAACATGACCGGGCTGCCCCCCAAGGACCGGGATGGCCACAAGGCCACGGACCTGCTCTACCCTGACCCCGACATGGCTGACATTGTCAACCGCACCGGCCACCAGCTCGATGATATGCTCAAGAGCTGCAACTTCAGCGGCGAGAACTGCTCATCGCATGATTTCACTGTGGTGAGTGCACACCTGGCTCAGCTTCACCGGGGTCCCTGCCAGTGCAGGGGGCATGCACCCAGACATGCCTCACTGGAGCAAGGCTGCTCAAGTTTGCATCTCTCTGTGTGAGTTTCCCTCCAAGTTTCACACGGAGGGAGAGAAAGGATCCTCCATGGGAGCTCTTGGTAGGGCTCTGTGCCGCAGGACTGGGCTGTCAGCAGGTCTGTGCCAGAGGGGCTGTGAGGCAGGGGCAGGAGCAGCGGTGCTCAGCAGTCCCGAGGGTGGGTATTCAGTGGGAAAGCTGCAGTGGGAAAGCAGTGATGTAGCGCTCTGCTCCAGCCTGTGCTTCCCTCTGGGTTGAGGTGCTCTGTTGCAAGATGCCTTGCACAGGGAGAGTGGCTGGGGGGGCTCAGGAGACATCCCATTGCACATCAGGGAGCTTTCCTGCATTTGAGAGGGCTGGTGCTGGGATGGGTGTGAATCCGGAGGCTGCCAGCATTGCACACGTGTTCACACACATGCCGAGTGGACCCGCTTCAGAGGCACAAGAGTGGGGGTGAGTGAGGGGCTGCCTGGGGCTGCCCACCCACAGTCCAGGTCTTGCTGGCAGGGCCTTGTCCCAGCAGTGCCCTGCCTGCCCAGGCAGACAGCTCCTGGCCGGGCACTGCCAGAGTGCAGATCCCACTAATACTGAGCCTGGAATCACAAATCCCCGCTGTGGTTTGGGAAAATAAATGTGCTGAACGGGCGGAATACCTGATGGGACCCTTTTCAAACCGTAATGACTCTGGAAATGAGCCGCCTCTCTCCTACGGCTGCCAGGGGCTACTGCTCGGCTGGCTTGCTGTGCCCCCAGGAGCAGCGCTGCCAACCGGAGCCTGCTTTGTGCCGGGGAGAGGGATGTGATGCCATGGGCTGTGCGGGATGCTGTGGGGGAAGAGGAGGTTCCGTGGGGCTGGAAATGGCTGATGCAGCATGTTTTGTTTCACTTCATGCCCATCGGTGTTGTACAACGCCTGCTCGCTGCCCAGGGTGATGCTGTCCCTGGGAAAGCACCGTTTCGGGGGGAATTGCCCTGTGCGATGTGGTGGCATGGGGATTGCAGTGGATTGGGAAGGAGAGGGGATTGGGAAACAGCGAGGGGACAGCCCTGCTCCACCCAGGGCTTTGCTGGGCTGTGTGCCTGCTCTGTGCCAGCTGCTGGAGTTTGCCAGGGAGAAGTGTGGTTCATCAGGGCTGGGAGTGGGGAGCTCTGGTGCTGGACAGTCCTGCACGTGGCTCGGCCACGCTGGCTCCAGCCCTGGCGTCCTCCTGGGGAATCCTGCTTGCTTTGCCTTGCGGGGGAAGCAGCGAGCTCAGCCTTGTACCAGGCAGCGGCACGGAGTGGCAATGGGATTTGGTGAGTACTGATCTGCACTTGTGAGTCTGGCAGGGCAGAGATCAGGCGCAGGGGCTGGGTACAAGCTTCCCACAGCGTGGACACGGTGTGTGGTGTGTGCTGTGCTGTGTGGCAGCAGAGGGTGACCATCAGGACAGTCACCAGGACCTGGTTCCTCAGCAGGTGACCATGCAGGACCAGCTGGCCTGCCTGCCTCAGCTGCTTACAGGTCTGAGCTCTGGTGTGCCAGCACCTGCACTAGAGCATGCTTCAGGCATAAGGATGGTTAGTACCAGCTGATCCACAGCTCATGGCCCAAAGAAGGGAAGACCGGGGCTCCCATAGCCTTCACCTCCCTGTCCCCTGCTCAGCCCTCCAACCCAGCCTTTGAGACACCAAGGGCTGTCAGCAGAAAGGGCATCCCTATCACCTCTGCTTGCCTGAAGCAAAGGGGTGAACCTGGGGCAGGAAAGGCTGCAGGGCATTTACCTGTGGAAGGATGAGGGAAGATGTGACTTCCCTCTGCCATATACCATGTCCCAAAGCCTTGCCAGTGGAACCTGTCACGGCATCACACCGTTTGCAGCTGGAGCCTCCTACTCTTGTTCCCTGAGCCGAATTGGTCCCTTGTGCCTCCTGGGAATGACTGAAACACAGCGTGAGCTGCTTGGCAGGCGGGGTGAGTCCCAGCTGTGATGTGTGGGCTTGGGTACTCCTGTGCCTCCCAGCTGTGTCCTCAGTGAAGGGACACCCAGGCTGCCCTGTACCCAGCCGTTGTGTGGCAGGAAGCTCCAGGCTTCATCAATCCCAGTCCTGGATCCCCATGTGTGCCTTTATGTTCAGAAAGCTCTTGTAGACCCACTGCAGTGGGTGGATATGTGAGTAACAGCATGTCCCAGCAGTGATGGAGGGCTCCCAGATTGCAGTACATCCCAGTGGGGTAAATGGCCTGGGGTCTCAGGACGCTCAGCCCGTTGCTGCAGCCCCTGGAGGAGAGGTTGCATCCCCAGGGATGTCGGAGAAGGGAAGGAGCTTTTCCTGCAGCTGTGCTTGCAGGAGCGTTGGAATCTTTCCTTCCCTTTGGGCACAAGGTGGACTTCATCCAGAGGCTGGAAGTTTTATAGCACGAGGGTGGCCAAGCCGTGGGGCTGCCACTGGCTGGATTCCTGTTCAGGAGCAGGAGCAGCACAGAGGCTGGAGCATGTCCCCTTGCGCTAGAGCTTGCAGTCTATGCTTATACAATAAATAACTCGTATGGATCCTTTAAGTAAGAGCTGCGAGTAGTAAATGATCTTCCCCTATTCAACGTCACAAATCTACACTCTTTATGGGATAGCAAGTTAAGAAACTATTGGGGGGGGGGGGGGGGGGGGGAATGCCCAGCATAAGCATCTTCCATGTAATAAGGCCTGGCTGGGCTGTAAATCTCCCCAGGCGGCAGGGACAGCCCCGAGCCGCAGCAAGGCTCCCCTGCAGCTGACAAATGTGCCCCCCTGCATCGGCTGCCGGAGGGCCATGCTGGAGCCCCTTCAGACCCCACTGCCCCCTGCTCCCCGTTCCGCACGGAGTTGCAGGGCTGGGCTGCCCCTGCTGCTGTCCAGTGCCCGCCGGCACACTGCCGGGTGCCTCGGTGAGGGCGGTGGGTGCCAGCCCTGATAGCTGGGCGAGAGCAGCTGCGGTGAGAGGGTGCTGAGCGTGTGGAGCCGGTGCGGGAAATCAATAGCGCTCTTTACGTGCCATTAAGCAGGCGGCTGGGAAGCGGCCCCGCGCGGTTGGGGCTCAGCTACCGCAGGTGGTTTGTGCCCAACCCTCGTCCCCAAGCCGGGCACTCAGTGTGGCCACAGCCCGGGGCCGGTGCTGGCCACATCAGGAGACACTGTGGTAAGGGAGAGCCCTCTCAGCGGTGCTTCGGGGAGGCGGGCAGCTAGAGTGTGAAGGGGTCTTGGGGCTGCGGGAGAGGGCGCGTAGAGGTGGTCTCCCCCGACTAGCAGCAATATCCTGCCTGCTCGCCGGCAGCGGCTGCGGCAGGAGGTTTCTTTCGTGGCCGGGCGGGAGCCTGGTGCCTTTCTCAAAACCGCGTCCCCTTGTCAAAAGCCTTTTGTTTCTGATGTGTGGCTGCCGAAGCCAGTCCTGCTAGGGCTGGAGGCTGGGGGGAGAGGGAAGTTGCTGAGAGCTGGCAGTGCGTCTCGCAGCTGGCACCGGCCCCAGCTTTCCAGGCAGGGCTTCCCGCCTGCCCCGGACATGGGCAGCACCCCATGCAGACCCCGGATGGGGAAGCCCCTATGACTAAACAGGGTGAGCATCCTCAGCTGCACGCCAAGATGGTCCTGGTTGGGGTGTGGGAAGGGGGGGCAGCAGGCTGTCACTCCTGCTTCTTCTCAGTAAGGCTCTGCCACTGTCCCCCCTTGCCTCTAATGCTGATCCCGACGTGGGGACTCTCTCTGACCTTTCCACCAGAACTGTGCTTAATAAATGTCACATTTTCAGCCCATTTTGACGTGGAGTAAAAGAGCTGGACTCATTGCTCCTCACCTGCCCTGCCCTGCCTGATGCCTGTTCAGCCCCCACCCTGTTTCCCCTCTCCCCTTGTGCGGGGCTGAGTGTGCTCCGAAGTGTTGGGGGCTCACCAGGGGCCTCTCATCTGCTTATTAGTCTTCAGGCATTGCAGGACGTGCCCTGGATGGAGCACAGAGGGGGTCTGGGGCCAGGCAGTGCTGTACAGGTCCCAACACAGCATCATCCCCGCTGGAAGGTGGCATCACTGTGGTGATGGTGGGTGGTCTGAGGCTGGTGGTGTTGGTACCCAAGAGAGTCTGGAGCACCCATTGCCAATCCCATACCTGTGAGCTGCTCGTCAGAGCCCAGCCTTGCTCATTTGGGTCACCAGACTCTACAGACCCATGTCCTCCAGCCCCAGTCCAGCGCCTGAGCCATCTCCCCAGGGATTCAGTTTGTCCAGAGTACCCGCGCTCAGAGCTTGGCCACCATGCTTGTGTGTCCTCAGGTCTGTGTCTCTGAGGTGCAGATGCACCACAGGTTGGTCGCACTCCTGTCTGGAGCCATGGCGGTGGCAGCTCGGGCGCTGTTACACATGAGCCGCCTGGGCACGGCTTGAGGCGCTGTTTGTGCCAGAAAACGGGGGACTTTAATGCAATTCATTGCCATTTAATTTTACACAATTCCTGCTGCTTAATCCACTGAGAAATGCTAATTTATACAATTCACGTCTAAAAATAAATGTCAGTCCAGCAGCTCCCAGCAGCGGGTAGCTGCTCCCACCAGCCCCCGCTGAAGCCTTGTGCAGGGACCCCAGCCCAGAACCCACCTTGCTCCTGGCCAGCTGGGCTGCAGTGCTTGGGCTGCAGCAGCAGGAGGGTGGATATAGGGGTAATGAGAATTTGGGGTACTGTGGTGGTCAGCGAGGGGTTGGTTGCACTTAGGGATGTCACCGCAAAGCCCCTTATCACAGCAGGTCTTGGGGCACTATGGCAACGGGACATGGGGTGTCTTGGCGATCTGGCTGTAGATGAGGGTTGTGGATCTCCTGAAGTGCCTTTGGGACCCCCTCTCCCCTGTGGCTTCCCTCAGGAAAGATGAGCTCAGTCCTGAGTGTGGCTGGGGGTGCACGGGGTGAGAGGGG